GTACGTGGAGGTGCCAGACACAGAGCCCCTCTGACAACAGTGGCCAAGCCCCGGTAACGGGGAAAAGAGCCGGCTGGAAGTGCATGGAGACAGGTCCTCTGCACACCCCGCAGGGAAGGACACAGCCTTCCGAGCGCTCTGGCCTGTCCTCCCCCAGAGGAGAAACGGAATCTGTCAGCTCAGGGTGCTGGCGGCCCAGGCCTGCATGTGCACTCTGAGGCCAGACGGTGTGGGGGAGGGAGGGGGCGTTACAGCCAGGTTAGGCCTGGAAGCTTGGTTTGGGATTTAATCTGGGGAGGGGAAAACAAGGCCACACCCAAACTGGGGGACAGAAGGAGGCGGTGCTGAGGTCCTCAGCCCAGGGACCAGGTCCTCTTTGGGGCCAAGACTGTGGGGGGTGCTGGCTGCAGGAGCAGAAGGAAGAGCGACTCCATCGCCCCAGGGACCACCCAAAGCAAATGGGAGGAAACACTTGGGCTGCCCCCTCACCCAGCACCAAAAAAAGAAAAAAAGACACCAGCCGCCGTGGCTCACGTCTGTAATACAAGCACTTTGGGAGGCCGAGGCGGACGAGTCACGAGGTCAGGAGTTCAACACCAGCCTGGGCAACATGGAGAAACCCTGTCTCTACTAAAAATACAAAAATTAGCCAGATGTGGTGGCAGACGCCTGTCATCCCAGCTACTCAGGTGGCTAAGGGAGGAGAATTGCTGGAACCTGGGAGGTGGAGGTCGCAGGGAGCCGAGATCGCACCACCGCACTCCAGCCTGGGAGCCACAGCAAGACCATCTCACGAAAGAAAAAATGGTGAACATAATGAGCTTTGCCTCAAGTTTCTAAACCTAGCATGCCCGATGCTGCCAATGGGGTACTCGTCCATGCATTTAAAATGTTTTTGTTTATCCAGAATTGTCTGAAGTGGTTTTAAAAAGCTCAAACTTGAGGCAGGTGACGGTGTCCCCCGTGGCGTGGCACGTTGATGGCACCAGCAGACGGGGATGGCAGGCTCTGTCAGCGGCAGGTGAGGTGGCTGGGCCGGGTTCTGCTTGAACGCAGCGAAGGGAGGGCAGCAGGTGCCAAGGAGGAAGCCACCGCCCGCTCTGCCCGGCCACGCCTGAGGCCACTGCAGGGCCCGTCACCCACTTCGCAGATTGTCGCGATGAGAATACTGAAGCTCGGAAAGAACGAACAGTTTATAGAAAAAAGAAGATCCACACCAAAGCTTGGAACGGAGGCTCACGCCTAACAGGAAGGGGCTGCTTGCGGGAGAGCCTGGTGCTCTTCACAGCTCTGTGCATGGGGCTTTCATTTCAACGTTGACCTTAAGGTTCATGCTGCCTTTGTAATTTAAAAATGATAAATAAAACAGAACCCCATTTTAATTAGGGAAAAGCAGTTGATTTATGCAGAGGAAAATCACTAGTTCACTCCCTCACCCAAGGGAGCTGGGGGGGGAGGTGGGCAGGGTGCTGCCACAGGGCGATGAGACAGGAAGCGGCCAGGCCCTCACCTCCGGGCTCCTGCCCGCTGGGCGCATGGGAGCCTCCGGCCTCTGGGGCCCAATCCTGACTCACTGCTAACATTCACGGTGGGCACCGTGCAAGACCCTCTGCAGTGGCCTCCACGGGAACCCAGTAGTCCCCGACCCCAGCCCAGACTGGAGGGAGAAGGTGCAGGGAGACAGGACGCGCTGGGCAGAGGGCACGGAGGGCACCGGGCCAGGGCTGCTGTTACTTTGACAAAAGCCGTGAATGGAAGGCCTGGGGCAGAGTGGGGGAGGGGGACATAGGGCACCACAGGGGCAAGGCGGCACAGCCAGGGAGGACCCACCGTGCCAACCTCACAACAGCCCAGCCTGCGTCAGCAGTGACAGCGACCGGGACTGGGTGTGCAGGGCCCCAGGCCGGCCCCGCTGTTCCCAGCCAGGTGCGGGGTCCCTCAGCTGCCAGTCTGAGCTCTGACCAGCAGGGCAGGACCCTCACAGCCAGCCTGGCCTCGGAGCCTCCTGCCCTGAGCACCCGCCCGGCTCCTCCATGCCACTCAGCTCACAACAGCCCTTGGGCAGGCCTGTAAGCATTGAGGTCAGAAACCATCACAGGCCAGCAGGCCAAGGACACGAGGCGGCCAGGCCTGTGCCACAGCCTCCCCACGGCCTGGAGCCCCCACGCACCTGCTCCTGCTCAGCAGGCCTGGCTTCCGTGCCCCCAGGCCAGCCCACATCACTCTTTTCTGCAGAGATGTGGTGGGGCATTGGGCATCCAGCCTCCGCATCTCCAGTTTCCATCCACCCTTGGTAGGCTCCGCCCCAGCAGAGCCAGGCTGACACTTCCACCCACAAGAGCAGGACTCGGAGCAGAGGGGCAGAGACCCAGCTGTGCCTTAAGTTACCTGTGACCCCCAAACAGAGTCCCTTCTTCTGAAGCCATGTGATTCCTATCATCCCCGCCAGAACACCCTGGGAGAGCCTGAGTGCCTGGAGGACGGGACGTCACCGCTGGGGTGCAGACGGTCAGGGTGACAGTCCAGGAGCCTCAGCCAGTTCACCTGTCAGGTCAGGCTGCCGTCAGTCACCAAGTAGTGCAGACCAGGCACCCCGAAAGTGGACGTGGTGCCCCCCTCTAGAGGCTGAAGTCCCAGGTTCCAGGGCTGACAAGGTAAGTTCCTCCTGGCTCTCCCTCCTGGGCCTGTGTCAGGCCCCCTGGCTGTGTGGAGCCCACCAAGCTGCATCCAAGCCATGATGACCTCTGTGACGACCCCATCTGCAGATGACAGCACCCTGACAGGCCTGGGCACTGGGATAGCAGAGCATCTGCCGGGGTCCAGCTGAGCACACAGCAGAGGGGCCTGGGGGGTCTGCCTGCAGCCAGGTCGCCCCCTGGCCTCGGCCGTCACGCGAGATCGGCCCAAGCCCAGCACAAACCCTCTGCGGTGTCAGCAAGGAGGCCCTGGCTGGGTCTGAGTGGGAGTGGCCGCGGGGCCTGGCGGGGTGAAGCTGGCGGGGCAGCGCCTCCCGTGGGCTCAGGGCAGGGCTGCAGTGGCCTCTGGTGGCTGCAGGAGCTCAGGACGCCAGCGCCTTGGGCCCAGCCCTGCCCCAGGACTCAGGAGTGGAGTACCAGGCGTGGTGGCCTGCCCAGGGCACAGCACAAGGCCGGGCTCTGTCTGCCCTGCTGCAGTCTGACAGCCGAGGGGCCACGGGTGGGACCGGCTGTGCACAGTGGAGGGTGCGACTTGGGGGAAGGGGGAGGGCGCCTGTGCTCACCCGCACACAGGGTTCCAGGGAAGCCCTCCCCTCCCCGGCGGCGCTCAAACCAGCACAAGCACGGAAAAGTGACAGAGGCCATGGCTGTGGCTGGCACTAAGTCCCCAGGGCGGGGCCACTTCACCTGAGAAGCCCCCTGGGCGGGGAGGTCAGCAGCCATGGGGAGGCTGGGAGCAGGGGCACCTGTCCTCTCAGCGCTGCTCCCAAAACCCCCGCTGGGCACAGGCAGGGTCCCAGGCCAGTGCTGGGCCAGGAGGGCGGCTCCCCCAAGCAGGGCCCTGGCGCTCCCTGCCCTCCCCAGCCACACCCACGCACACCAAGCTCCGTTCCAGTGCCCCACCTTCTGTCCTGAAATAAGCACACTGCAAAAAGGAAACCGGGCATCCCAGACAGACAAAAAACCTGTCTGGTATAAACTGGGTCCTCTCAAAGTAAGCTCCTCAATAGCAAGGCTGTGCCAACTACCAGGGCCTCCGCGGCGGGGAAGACTCCAGAGGGGGCCAGACGCTGCCCAGCTGCTACCCAGCATCCACCGGGCCCTCACATTTGCAAAACAAGGAGGATCAGCAGGACACAGCCAAGGTGGGGCACAGACACAGGAACCCCACAACCCATGCCAAACCCCCACCCACTCCAATAGCCCCACTCACACCAACACCCCC